GCGGGGACACGAAGGGAATGCGTATGGGGCCACGAAGAGCGCGAACGAGCGGGGGCCACGAAGGGCAGATAATGCGGGGCCACAGAAGGCAACGATGGGGCCATTGAGGGTAGCAACTGGGCCACGTAGGACACTGAGGAGGCCACAAACGGCGACAGCGGGGACACGAAGAGCATGCACATGGGGCCACGACGGGCGCGAACGAGCGGGGGCCACGAAGGGCATCGGAGGTTGGGGGGTGAGATCGCAGTGAAACGGAGACCCCCCACCGGGAAATCGGTTTCGGTTTCGTGTTCGTGTCGTGCGTGCGGACGAGACGAAGCTGCGCGTGATCCTCCTGTAGCGAGTTCGAAGTAGGAGCGAAAATCCGTTTCCCGTCCGCCAATGGCCGGGAGGTGTCCCAGTTGGGCCGGGCTGTGTCCAGGGTGTCCCGGGTGTCAGAAGGAGCGAAAGTCTGTTTCCCGTCCGCCGGTGGCCGGGAGGTGTCCCAGTTTGGCCGGGCGGTGTCCCAGGTGTCCTGGGTGTCACGGGCGTCCCAGCGCTAACGCATGTCGCTAATTTCATAATTCCATTGTTTCGGCGCCTGCGGCGGGTTTTCTTATCCAGTTCAGCTTATCTGATCCAATCCATCTTGCCCAATCCAATACATCTTATCTTATCCAACCCATATTGTCCCATCTTATCTTATCCCACCCAATCCGATCCACCCAACCCAATCCATCAATTCATTTGTTTCTGCGCCTGCGGCGGGCCAATCCAATCCATCTTATATTATCCAATCCATCTCTTCCAATCCAACCCATCTTATCTTATCCAATACATCTTATCCCATCCAATCCAATCTACCCAACCCAATCCATCAATTCATTTTTGTCGGCGCCTGCGGCGAGCTTTCTTATCCAGCTCAGATTATCTGATCCAATCCATCTTGCCCAATCCAATACATCTTATCTTATCCAACCCATAGTGTCCCATCTTATCTTGTCCCACCCAATCCAATCCATCCAACCCAATTTGCATCAATTCATTTGTTTCTGCGCCTGCGGCGGGCAAATCCAATCCATCTTATCTGATCCAATCCATCTCTTCAGTCAGGGTGCGCATTTGATCTCAATCCCCCCAAACCTCCTTATCGCCCGCAGGGCGGTCGCATAGGTACGTATATTGGGCCGCGGAGGGCAAGGACGGGGCCACTGAGGGCAGCAACGGGGCCACGAAGGGCAGCGAGGGGGCCGCGAAGGGCGACAGCGGGGCCACGAAGGGCATGCACATGGGGCCACCACGGGCGGGAACGAGTGGGGCCACGAGGGGCATACATATATGGGGCCACGAGGGGCAGCGAGGGGGGCACGAAGGGCTGCAACGGGGCCACGAAGGGCAGCGAGGGGGCCGCGAAGGGCTGCAACGGGGCCACGAAGGGCTGCAACGGGGCCACGAAACAAAGCAAGGGGGCCACGAAGGGCTGCAACGGGGCCACGACGGGCAGCGAGGAGGCCACGAGGGGCTGCAACGGGGCCACGAAGGGCAGCGAATTGGCCACGAAGGGCTGCAACGGGGCCACGAAGGGCAGCGAGATCCCGATTCCTGGGTAATCTGTAAGGGAGTCCTATAGCGTGAGCGCGACTCCTGGGTGCCTGGGTGTCGGGAGCGCGGCGCTTGAGTAAATTGCAAGAAATTCCAACGCAAGGGCGCGATTCTTGAGTAAATTGCAAGCAAGTCTCCAGCGAGAGCGCGACTCCAGAGCGCCGGGAGAGCGATTCCAGAATAAATTGCAAGGAAGTCCCAAGCGAAAGCGCGATTCCTGAATAAAATGCGAGGAAGTCTCGGGCGGGAGCGGAGGTCCTGGCTAAATTGTGAGGAAGTCTCAGGCGGGAGCCGTTGCTGTTGTAACCCGGGGGCCAGAGGCACACTTTGAGCACCAAGACTTTCCCTGTCAAAAGACAGGGTGCGAGCGTCGAGGGGCACACTTTGACTGAAAACAATATGCACCGGTGAGGGGAGATCAACCAGAATTATTCTTCAGATATGAGTTCAACAACAGCAACAGCAACAGCAACAGCAACAACAAGACGTCTAAAACCCAGAAGCCTGTAATTATCTGGGCCGTCTCGAGCTTCCCTTTGCGCCTCGTGCAGCTCTCTTGGAGTCTCGTCTAACACTCTTGTTCATTTGTTGTGTTTGCACCTCCCCGCGCGCGAGGGTTCAAGGCACCCCCTCACGAACGGCTCCGCCTTGTGACGAAAGCGGCTCCGATGATTCGAGAATCGTCGCCGTGCACGCGCCGTCGCGAAGCGACGCAAATTATACGGCATAGTCGAGCTGTGCAGAGAATTATCGAGATAGTTCACCGCTTCACTTCCAGCCATCCCTGGCCGCCCAGAAGGCCTCCTGGAGCCGTGCTGGCTCGTCTGGCCGCCCTCTTGGCGCCCTCTCGGCACGCCTGGGCGCGCCCAGAAGGGTCTCCAGAGAGCCTCTCGAGGCCCCAAAAACTAGCTCGCGATGCTCCCTTTTAACCTCTCCGTATCCCTCCTCTTCGGTTGCGCTTCCTCATTTTCACAGCTTTTTGTCGGTACCCTGTTGAACTGTTTTCGGAGCCTGCTCGAGCGATCTCTCGAAGCACTCTCGACGAGTTTGGGGCGGTTCTCTGGGGCCGACCTCGAGGGCCCCCCAAGAGACCCCCCAACAAAATGTTTGAGACCCCCCCGGCACCTTCAAGAGGCCAAACAAAGTGACCAAGAGGATCCCGAAGAGGCCGCCATGAGGCCCCTGAGAAGTCGCCCAAGATACACCAAGGAGCCTCCCAATGATTCCTCATATCCACGACCCACTCTGGCCGAAAGCGTTCCTACTCCCCCAAAGCACTTCCCCGCGGACCCGTCTGAGAAGCCGAAATCGAAATTCTTAGATCCCTGCTTCCGCTGAGTCCTCCTTTGTTGTCGACATCTGGGTGGACTTTGCCTTTGCCCGCGAAACTCGTGGGATCTTCTTGGGAAATTGCTGGATATGCGTGAGCCCTTGTGCCAAGTTGGACCCCTGTAGCGCCCTACGTTGCGTAGACTCTCCTAGTCCGCCTTCACTACCCCCTACCCTGACTCGGACTCCGCGTTCCACTATAGGGCGGGCGGCGGTGTCTGCCACCTCCAGGGCGTTCCATTCAACGATTCACGAATCGTACCTGCAAGGATCGGGTTCACGTGTGGTTGCCCAAAGATGGATGGGGCGGCGTTCCTGTTGGGCCACCTCGGGCTGAAGGGCCGCCGCCGGCGAGGTGTCCAGGTCGACGTGGGGGGCCTGGCGAAGCAGGGGCCATGGAGGCCCAACGAGCAGGAGGGGGAAGCTCGCTCGCCCGCTCAATACCACTCAACAAACTGAACATCATCATCATCCCCATCCTCATCATCCTCATATGCCTCGTCCCCTCCATCAACAGCAACAGCATCATCAATATCACCACCAGCATTAATAATATCAGCGCCAACATCAACTTCATCGACCTGAACAGCAGCACCACCATCATCATCCCCGCCATCATCCCCCCACCGCCACCATCAGCATCATCATCACCATCACCACCATCATCTCATCATCACCATCATCACATCATCATGCTCGCAATCACGATCAAAAGCATGATGATCATGATCACGGCCCCCCACCCCCGAACAGCCGCCACCCAAAATGCTGAGCTAGCATGGCGAAGGACTTGCCGCTGACAGCTGGATACCACCCAAGCTGAACCTATTATCTCTCAACTCGAAAATAAGCTCGGTGCCCTGGGTTTCGACGTTTTATGCAAGTGTCGATAGCTTCCCATCTTCGGGGGCGGTCACGCCTCCGCAAGCCCCCAAAACATCGCACGCGGATGCCAACTGGGAGGGGCCATGACGATGATGGAGGGGCCCGAAGTTGGCGACGAACTCCCGTCCTGACTCTGCCGAGGCGCTGGGGGCCTGGAACTAAAATCTAGAACGGATGATGCAGGCGAGCCTTTCTTCAGTAAAGCAGACTGCAAAGCGGAATGCTCATTACAGCGGGCGCGCTAGGCTGCAGCCTACATGGCAGCGGAGCGCCCGCTGCCTGCACTGACGGACTTGCTCAAGAAAGAGGCCACCTACCGCGCGAATGTGGTGCTCAAACAGGTCCGCCGCGCTTCCTTGGCAACCAAGACGTAATCCGTCCAGCCCACCGCCGAGACCCGACAGACCGGCCACACGCAATAGTCAGTGTGGAAGAGGATAGAGCGGGGGGTTCTGCGAACCACCCCCCTCATGAACAGTTGCACTGCACAGAGGACCTTCGGCTAACCAAGCCCCTTAAAAAATGCGGGCACAACCGAAAGGAAAGGCTGGCAGCGGAGTATTGCTTGAGCAAAAAAGAGGTTATTAGTGCTCAACGCGCAACGGCCTGCTGCCCCACGTACACAGCTCATGGAGGCAGCCCCTCAAAGGTGTGATTCACTATGTCGCATTCGCATGGCGACCACGCAATGGCTCTCCGTCGAGTCCCCGCCCTTCCCCGAGCCATCCGTCTTCTTCATTTTCTTTGTATTACTATCGTTGTTAGCGCTCTTCTTCGTATGCGCATTCTTCTTTAAAATATTACTACGATTATGATTATTACTATTACTCAGCTTCTGGCGCGCCCCCGCTGCCTTGCACGCGGGAAGGCTATCCGCGACGATCGCCGAGCCGCGCCTGCTCGCTTTGTCCAGCATCAGCCACTTCCAACAGCACGTGCCTGAAACAGTCCAGGCCCTGCTCCGCACCCTCGCGTGACAATGAGTTCGCCGCGTGCTCAAATGGCCCTTCGACGAGCGCCGCGGCCATCTACGCGCGGGGCGGGCCGAACAATTTGTCGCGGCGGCGAGAGCCATCGCCCCGCTCGAAGACAGGCGGGGGGCGCGCGCGGCCGAATGGGGCACGACGCGCGGCGAGGGTTGAAGGTGGAAGCAGATCGAGCACGCCCAAAACGCAGAGTCCACGCACGCGAGTGCCGAACCGCGCGCGCAGCCCGAAAGTGAAAGTCCTCGAAGGGGGCTGGGCCGAACAAGCGGCCCCCATTAAAACAGGGCTAGGACCGGGATAAATCGATCCAGAGCGTTCCGGAGCGCTCTCAGAGCGTTCCGGAACGCTCTGGAACGGCCGCGGCGCCCAATACATCCTCCAAACCCGCCGATTCTCAGAGATTTCGAGTTATCCCGATCCGATTTTGTCCCGATCTTCCCGTCGTTTTACCCATGCTCCCCGCGCCTTCTCTCCACATTGCTTGCCCCCTTCCAGCGCCCGCCGGGCCGGCCCCCGCCTCGCCTCTGGCGGGCCAGCGCCCACGCCCGAGCGCGGCAGCTCCCTCGTTTCTCGGGCCCTTCGCAGCGCGAGGCGCCGAGGGCTGGCGACGGACCGCGGGGGCTCTGTCGGCCCCCGCGGGCCTCGCTGCCCGTGGCCTCAAACCGCCTCCGCGCACCCCCATCTCCGCTTCCTGCAGCTCGGGCTCACCGTCCGCCTCCTCCTGCCGTCAGGGTCGGGTCATTTGCCCCTGCCCTCCATGATGTGGTCGTGGCCGTTGCTTGAGTCCCCGCGCTTTGTCTGCGCACTCCACCCCTCTGGCCCTGGGTGGCGCGATCGTTACGTGGTGGCGCTGGAGTTGGAGGAGCGCTTGAGTCCCGTAGTCACACACGGCGCACCCACATGGAGGACGCTGATTTCTGGACGCCGTTGCCCCGGCAGGCGAACCCCTTGTAGCACAAGCGGCAAACCTCCGCGGCCCTACGCGCATGATTCACGGCTCTCTCGCGCGTCGCTAAAGTGGTGAGGCACCATGGGCGCTGGCTGGTGACTACTACTCGGCTCGGGACCAGGGGAACGCACTTGCGAGCTTCTCTTCCGCGAGGCACTAGGGCCGCTGCTGCCCCAAATCGTTGACCGCAGACTGTTTCCTACTCCCTTCCTCCGACGTAACCTGGTCGCATCACTACTCTGGACTACTCTTATACGCGTACCTCCTCCTTCTCTGCTTCCTCTGTTCCTCCCCGTTTCACTGAACCGAGGCATTATGTGAGATACGTGTATCAGCACCGATCAAGCGGTTTCATTCCTTGGTGCTTCTAATAACCATTGATATGTCGGTGGCGCGTTCCGTGAACCATGAAGCAATATCGTCGCTGGCGTTGGCTAGCGTGGTAAGGTTTTCCAACGCCTGCCTTGCCCACGGCGTAAAACATTCACACCGTTTTCCCCATACCAGTCTGGGTTGGCCGCGGTCCTGGCCCAGTCTGGATTCCCCAGCCATCAGACCCAAATCGTCGCCTTGGTGGAAGGCCCACTGTCGATACCAACGCAATCGTCGCATTCATAGCGCGACCTATGCTCTCTCCATTTCCCGCTATCGGAGCACCTGCATGGTAGCATAGCATATCGTGTATACATACATATACATGTGTGTGTGTGTGTCCTCTCTTGTCCAGCTCACATTCCCCCCACCCCAGCTTTCTCACGTATGTACACATCATCTGTTTTACTGTGTCAGTGTATAGTGTGTGTGTGCTGAGCAAACGCATTGAGCCCTTTCACTCTTGCAACAGTGACGAATGATCGGAACATGGTGCTGCAGCTTGTCCGCCAGTCTTCATCCCGAAAACTCCCACATTGTCTCCAAGCCTTGTTTATCGCCTCGCACCTTATGTGCACAGTTCATATTAAACCCTGATCCCCTGGCATGTACGACCCCAAGTATCTCACTTCTCGCATCGAGGCTCCGTCGCTACCGACGAGCTCCGGAGCTTCCTGTGGGGCCACGAGACGTGTGAGGGGTGTACCGAAATGGGCACGAGGAGGGCAGAGGCAAGAATGGGAGGAGGGAGGAGTTGGGAGGAAGGAGGCGGGGGGAGAAGGAGGGACGCTGTCTCTTCAAAACGAGGACCCAACAACACAGGATGGTTGGGAAAAAAACTATCCTGGCGAAGGACCTAACCATATGCTGTTGTGAGTACCGCAGCTGTGACTACGGTTCTTGGTGGAGCTCCTGATGGGGCCCCGAAACGTCTGAAGGGGTGTGCCGAATCGAGCGGCCGCCATGCGGAGCCTGCCGCTGGGGCCACCGGTGAGCTCCCTATAGGGCCACGAAGCGTGTGAGGCGTGTACCAGATCGGGCGCCAGGCCGCCATGCGGACCCTGCCACGAATTATGTGCAGGGCCGCAATGCAGTCCCTGCCGCCCGGGCCTTCGATGGAGCGCCACGAAACGTGGAAGGCGCGTGCCGAATCGAGTGCGAGGCCGCCGTGCGGACCCTGCCGCTGGGGTCTTCTGTGGAGCTCCCTATGGGCAACGAAACGTGGGAGGGGCATACCAAATCGGGTGCGGGGCGCCATGCGAACCCTGCCGCTGGGGCCTTCGGAGGACCTCTATAGGGCCACGAAACGTCAGAGGGGTGCCGAATCGGATGCGGGGCCGCCATGCGGACCCTGCTGCTAGGGCCTGCGGCGGAGCTCCCTATGGGGATACGAAA